CCCCTAGTAGCGTCCATGCTCCTAGTAGCGATGCCAGGAGCCCCTAGTAGCAAACATTGTTCCTAGTAGCGATGCCATGGCCACCCAAGGCCCAAGACCCAGTGAACCGTCATTGTTCGAGTGGGTTCTACTGCATACCTGCCCTGGACACGGTGGTGTTCAGGTCTAAGGATGCACAGCGGCAAACAAAGCAATACTACCACACGCGACGTTCGACCCTGAAAGATGGGTATCCTGATGCATCCCTATGATTGATTATATACACTGATACATGGAAAGCCCAAACCCATCTTGCCCTATCAGTTCAACACCTTGCCGCGGTTGTCCGAATCTCCATCACCCATGAGTTGTGACCAGCTCAGTGGCGTGTCTGCATGTTGACGAAGCCATACAGCTCGTTGGTGGAGATGGCCTTCGGACCTTGGAGACCCGACCGTGCTCGTCGTTCCGAACGGGTCCGAGGCACGTGGACCATGCCGAGGCGCAAGATGATGTTGCCGGTCTTCATGCAAAATGGATAAGCTCCAACACATATGTCATATGTGATGCTGCTGGCCAACAAAGCGTCCATCCCTATCCCTCTCTCCCTCTCCAAAAGCATGATGCAATGTAGTATAATGTATAGTTAATATAGCTATAGTTAGACTATGTTAGACTGAAGTAATTATAGCTATAACATCGTTAGTAACGATGCTTCATATAACTTAGTAACATATGTAGTTAACAGAGTCGGACTTCGATCGGTCGGGCCGCTGAAGTCCACAGTGGTGGTCTTCTCACCACGACGGGTCTTGGCGTTCTTCAAGACCTTCCTCAGACAGCATCACTGTTGATGACATCATGTGTGACAGTGATGCTATATGATGCTATATTTGAAGCTCTTTCGACTCATCCAACTCTTCCAGACTTTCATCCAGAAGCAAGGTGAAACAGGGTGTTTCACCACTGTGTCGCTTCCCGAGCCGCAAGACGCGGGTGGACGAGATTCTTCCCTTTGCTACTAGTATCAAGGTGCATCGCTACTAGTAACAAGATGTAACAAAAAAAAAACTACTAGTTACTAGTAGCGAGGTGCCTTACTAGCCTGTTTGCTTGCTAAGATCTCCAAAAGGACGTCCTCTGATCTCCAAAGCCATAAGAATCCCAACTCTGGACGTCCTGCGCATTCCGATATTGCACCCCTTCCCCCCCCCCACCTCTTTACCATCCTTGAGACCCAGGTTTTTGGGAACTACCTTTTTGGGATGTCAAGGCTCCACATCGCGGACTTGAAGCTTCCAGGATTGCCCATCAAGAAGACCTGGCAGATGTCAAAAATCCGAAATCCCACCCAACCATTCGCAAGTTTCACCCTGATCACCATGCAGCCAGGAAAAGCTTAAGACATGAAAAGAACATGGCCTCTAAGGTGAGATGCAAGGCTTTCCATTTGCCTGGACCTGAGTGATCCTATTCGGGTCTGAACTAGTATCACGTTTTCCATTTCCCCCACCTTTTCCACCCGAAAGCCCCCCCCGGCACACACGCCAAAGGCACACAGTGGCGAATACCCAGCAACTCGATGAGCTGGGTGATCTTCAGCAACAAATAGCCATCAGGATCGTGGGTGTAGCCATAATCCGCCTGCATTGGTGCTCGGCACGATCTGGCGGTGTGTTTGGACACAGCCTACGTTGAAGAGGACGTTGTTGCAAGAACAAGGTTCATTGATTTTATCTACAACCGCGGGGCATTCCACTTCCATGTTTTTTGGAGGAGTGGTAAGCATCTCAGAACATGAAGTGAATCTAGCTTTCCAGTCTGACGTAGGAAGCAAGCAAGCAAGCACGCGGCCTGCATTACATCCACCAAAACTTCCTGCGAGCGTTCTTTTGAAGCGGCAAACGGGGTCAACACGCCAATGCCCATGGTGTTTAAAAGTTTTGATGCATACATGACACCGAATGACATGTTCAGTGCTTGATTCCCAGTCCTACAACTTTTGCTGCCAACGTTTCTGTACTCGCAAACTGTGTAATGTGCCACCACAATTATTGACTGCGTTTGAATATGGTCATTGCATTGCTAAGAATTTCTGGTAAACAAACTACAGAGTCCTTCTAGCTATCCCTATCAAGAAAATACAAAAACATAACTTTCCATAATGCAATAAGGGATTCCACAATGAACAACATCGCAACTAACCAAGGGTCCTGGGAGACCATTCTTGTTTGGATCTGTGAACCAACCACTTCCTTATCCCAATTTCTTATATAGACTGTCTTTGGCTCCTTTCATTGACGTGGGACCCCTCGGGTGGATTTTGTTTATCCCTCTGAGACATGGCCAGGGAGCCAGGGATGTCGAGGTCTTGCAACACCTGGAATTAGGAGCAACTCCAGCAGTCGTGCAGGTTTGCTCTCAAATCAGCAGTTGCACGTAGAGAAAGACAAACAACTGCTCCTCCATCTCATAATCTCGTGCACGAGGGACATCAATGCCTTCGAAAGTGTGGGTTTGAACAAATCTGGGGATGCCGGGATGCCACATTAAACATGTCTATGGGACAGGTCATGCTGAGTTTCGTTCCAGAGAGTCCACGGGATTTGACCAAGTGGACAAATGACCAGGAAAGCGCTTCAAAATGCTTCAAGGCTCCCTCACAAATCAGGAACAATGGTAATAACTAACGAATTTCTAAGCAGGTCGAGGAGGCCCTCTGCCAGCTGGCGTCAGCAAGCATTTTCTTGGAGGAGCAGTTGGGATCTATACGTCTGAGTCTGTTCAAGAGCGATTCATCCCAGTCGCTACAAAGCTTGGATGCCAGATCTACTGACCCTGTGGAGCGCACATCAAACCAACGCACACATGTATGACTATGCTGCAGTGTTTCCAAGCCCAGCCAGCTTTGCAAATAGCCGCTGGAAGTGCCATCAGTGAATCCGACAAAACCGCTGGCTGGCTGCGAATCTGCTTCTATGTATTCCGACATTCCCATGTCATGAATCCTTGATGCAATTTTGAAAAACAACAAATGGCTTCCCTGAACAAAGCTGGAGGGTGGTGGTGGTTTCGTTCGCACGAGTAGTAGAACACGATGGTGATGAATTCTTGATATGATGAGAGAAGATGCTTGGGGGTGGGATTGGGTGGCTTGGTCCGTTCATTGATGTGGTTTCGTTCGTGCTCTGGAAGTACAAGAAAGGCACTTTGCAGATCAACAAAACTACAAGAAGGCATTGCCAAACTGTGTTTCCAACACTCAAAACGTATCAAAACCAAAATGAGCGGTTTGCTAGCGAAACACATGCGGCAGCCACTTTCCTGGCGAAATCGTGAGGAATTTGATGCATCTTGGAACACACTTCAAACACACTACTGGTACTGTAAGTACCAATGGCACGGACACGAAAACAACCAATAAAGAAAGAGTTGACAGTTACAGGGCAGCGTATCAGCCGTGGTCCTTGTTTGTCTATGTGGTATTTAGGTAATACTCATTGTCCAATTCGTTTTTGACGGCTTGCGGAACTTGCAGGCATTTGCTTGTCTTATCTTGTCTTCATTGTCTTCTTTGCTGATTCAGCAGCAGATTTCTGGTGCACATGACTGCTTTTTCATCGCTGTCTCATAGAGATTCGATCATTTTCATTTTCCTATTCATAGTTGATTGGTTGCTGGAATTTGCGCTGGTCTTTATTGTGTGCTTTGATGGTTCAGCTGTAGATTTCCTGGTGCACATGGTGTTCATTGCTGTTCGATTGGGATTGCCAATCATGTTCCTACTATTCATGTTTGTTTGTTTGCCACTGCCCCACTATCGCCACTATACCCAAAAAGGCTGCAGCTTTGCACCCAGTGTTGGTGCCACATTAGTGTTCCCTTCTGGGAACGCCTTCGTTGCGCCTTCACTTCTAGAACCTCTCCACAACGATCAGATTTCTTTTGCTTTTTGCATGTCCTTTTTGGAAATCTGGGGGGGGTTAAACATACGGCTTTTTTGTGCTTTTTTGTATGTGGGCTCCCTTGTTTATTCATCAAAGGTGGACATTAGGTGGCTTTCCCACGTTCATGAATCAATTCCGGGGGGGTGTGCAAAGGAAACAAAGCCAACCCACATCTACATCTTTTCGCATAAAGATGCGCATGTGTTGGATCTATCCTACTACCAGTAACAGTGGAGGCTGCTGGTTAGTAAAGGCCTTGTTCAAAAATTGTGATAATGGTTTACAGGTCCTGTTACAGGTACTCTGGCAGACCCAACACATGTCAGGACAAATCGTAGGTCCACGCGCTCTTCCCGCAGATCGGATCTTCGCCTGGGAAGAGATCCTTGAGCAGCGCCATGAAGATTCGCAAGTCATCGCCTTCGATCTTCGCCACATTGGTGTCTCGCAGGGAGCGCATGAGCACTGCCTGCTCTGACAAGCTCGGGTCAGCACCTTGGAGAGCCGCAAGAGAGACAAGGAAGGCACAAAGAGAGAGACAAGGGAGCCATAGGGAACCTGTCTTTGAAGGATGTCCAATCCATCCCTAAAGGGCATTCATGTGGCAAATCGCTGTTTTTGACATCATTTTGATCCATCCAAGCACTGGCTAACTGTGGTAGCGCAGTCACCTCTTTGAGTCTCGCTCTGAGACCTTCCAAGCACGCTTTCAGCACAGCAAATGGGCTGTGAGTCAAAACCCGGCCATCCTGATTGACCACCAAACAAAAAGCAAAGGGGAGTCAACCTCAGTCAACCTTCCATGGTTTGGTGGGTTTGAGGTGCCATGATTCACAGCCAAATGGAAGCTTGGGAGATCTTGGGAGCATCCTTCTTTAGGAGCATGGACGCTACTAGGGGCTCCTGGCATCGCTACTAGGAACAATGTTTGCTATTAGGGCTCCTGGCCTCACAGTTTCGGTCCAAGTGTTTACCCAAGGGACCAAGCAAATCAGCATGGTTTGGGTTGCAAAACGCTATCTGTCGGCACGCCGGTCACAACACCATTTATGCCATGTTCTGGGACCTCCTCCAATCAAAACCACTGGTCCCTGTCAGGAAGAACCTGGTCATCTGCGTCAGCCATTCCCCGTCTGACCACAGGGTCACCACACACACACACACACACACACGCACGAAAGCCAACAAAGTATCTGACAATGGAATAGACGGCTTATGACGGCCTGGATGCAAGTGTAGTAGTACTTACCAAGTCCTTCACACAATCGAATCCTTCTGCTTCTCCATGAAGGGTGTAGTACTTAGTACTTGCTATTCCCAGCATCCCAGTCGGACCATCCCAGTTCATCACAACCAGGGCGCGCTTAAAGCCTCCGGCCACCACCAACACGGATTTGATGGCTCGCATACCCCAGTCCTCGCAACGTTTGCGCGTGGACATCCGTGAGTGCGCTTATGCACTTTCTTGGGAGACAAACACAACAAGACCTTCGGAAAAGTCTGCGGAGCAGTGACGAGTCACAAACTGTTCACCAAGATGAATGGGAAGGATTACTGGGTGAGCTTGAAAATTGCCTGGCCTCAGGAAGGTTCTACAGTAACTCTAAGTGGGGGAGGGAATCAAATTGGCTTCCACCTATGTTGGTATCGCACAAGAGAGCGAAACAAGAAAAACATATGAAGACGTCAAGCAACACCTACTTGCAGTTTTCATCCGTTCGGCTTCAGCTGAGTGGACCATATACACATCCATAGACCCCCCAGCTGTGCATAAAGCATCCCTCTGTATTCCTGCTAGTGTTCATGACTCGTAAAAATAATAGACAAATATTATATGTATTTTTATGTATTTATATATAATATAGTATATACAGTATATAAGTATTATATGTAGATATATATATATATAACATCCCAAACACTAAACACTTTGCTACTTAGCTACTGTCTGTTGGCTGAAGGTCTGCAAAAGTCTCTTAGCTACCCATATAGCGTAAGGGAGGAAGCCCACCTGAGCTGCTACACCACGCACGGGCGACTGCTTGGCGCATGAATCCCATATAGCGTACGTCGGCGAATGCTTAAGAATCACCATGGCCGGGGCCCCAGGCGTACTTCTTGGACTGGCCTTGGATTTGCGAAATCACGGACCTGGTGAGGGAAACTGCATGGCCTCATGCATGGCCTGGCCCTCTGGACACTTTGGATGTCCACATCAGACAAATCTCTTCGAGCAAGTTGGGAAACCGTCAGACAAAACATATAGGCATTTCCCTTTTTGGATCAATGGATATCAACGGGCGCCTGGAATCTCCCAAACCCGCCCAGCAAGTCTAAAGGACGGGTTAAACTGGTGCGTTAGCGTAAAGGACGCATTTCACCTCCCAACTTCCAAGACCTAATTTTCACCGGTTTTTTACGGCCTTTCACCGTGTTTTCACGGGCTTTTCACGGGTTGTTCACGTCCTTTTCACGGCCGTTTTACGCTTCCAGCTCCCGTTTTGCTAAAAACTGGTGCGTTACTAAAGAACTGGTTAAACTGGTGCGTTGACCCACTGGGCCGGTACAGGATGGCAATTATGAGGAAGATCTGCGGGAACCACCAGGGTGCCTGATTACTTGACCCATAAAGAGAATCAGCCCAACGTACACCGAAGCAGGAGCCCCTGGTCGATTCGACCCCGTGGGAACTGGTTCTGCAATCCGAACCGAGTACTGCATGCTGAAACCGCCCCATCGGGGGAACCAAAATGATCTGTCTCACCCTCCACATGATCTGTCTCACTCCACCCCGATCTCGATCTCGTGTTGTTTTCGTCAAGTTCTGAAGGCGATCTTGGATGATCTCGAGATCGGCTCCAAGAAACCACAGTGACCAAGATATCCAGCTTTTCGGTCGGTGCATGAACCGTCATGGACCCGACAGCTGTTAAACAGCTTTTGGACTTCGCAAACCCACTGGACTTCACACACCTTTCTCAGAAACCGAGACCCACATCGGCTCATTCATGGCCAAGACGCTCAGCAAGTCTTTGTTCAACGCGTAGAGCGTTGAGAACTTCAAACCCAAGGCTTTCGCTTCGGTGAAACCTTCGCCTCGGTCGTGGCCGCTTGGGGGGTTGGCGGTGGGTTCGTCGAAGGGAGACGGGTCAAAGGGAGGTGGTTCCTTTTTGGAAGGGTGACTTGGAGTAGATCGATTGAACGATTCAAAAGATTCATACAGATTCAATGTTATTCAATATATTCATCAATACGTCCAAAGCATGAAGGAGTCATAAAAAGTATTGCGATGTTCTAGCATGTGTCAAGAAAAACCGCTGCCCCTACTTGGGAGTGTAGAGTGTGATCGATAGGCACCCAATTCTAGGCGAAAGCTCAAAGAGAAAGCAGCCAGAGCGGCTCATGGGACGAGAGTCCCCCTGTGCAATGATGACAGGAGCAGTCGCCTTTCTTTGTTCTTATACAGACTGTGTGCAGCTACTAAACCAAAGTGGTGTCACCCCGCTTCGACATGCTTCGCCTGCGCAACTATGGATGGCCCTTCAATGCATTCATGTTGTCAATGCTCTGTTAAAGAATGAGGAACCTGTCCTTGGGAGAGATTTGGAGAAGCAAGCTGTTGATCACAAGTCGCAGGTGTCAATATAGGAGCAGCTTGACCCCGAAAGCATGCCGTTCCATTTAATCAGAAAACCACCCTCCTCCCCACACCGAAATTGGGTCCTCCGTCCACAGGTGAGGCGCCCATGAACATGTTCTCCATGATGAGCTTGAAATCGGGCACCATCACCTTGGCAAAACACGGTCCGTTTCGAGACGAGGGCTGGCCGTGGTTCCAGCTCCACCTCTACGGACGTCAGATGACGTAAGAAACCGACGGTCGCCGTAGAGAGGTGTGAGTCGCGTGATCGGCCAGGCCAAGCGGCAGTGATCGGTCGGAAGAGGGCCTTGAGACCTTCTGGCAGCTCTGATCGGCCCAAGTAACCGGGGTTCATGGTGATGAAGCACCCCACCTTAGGCGTTGAAGCACGCACTCTTGAGCTGGAATGGCCAACCGAATGGGTTCATCCGCATCCGACCATTCCGCATCCGGGTATCACAAGTTGGCGGAATGGTCTGCATCCTTTTTTTCGTGTGTGTGTGTGTGCGCACGCACCACCCGTGGCCTGGGGATTCAGGTTGATCTCATCACCCTGCAACATGAAGCGCTGCTGCTTGGCCCTGATGGCATCACACACCGCCTGCGAGCCATCAAACGCGCGGCAAGGGGCCCACTGGGTTTCGCACGTGGATTGGTCCAAAGAGCACTGTTACCCCTCTCTTGCGGTGAATCAACACCTCCTGCCTTGTGGGGTCCGTGAACACAAACAAAAGGGCATAGCATGGCGTAGCGGCGTAGTGGGGATTGCTCACCTACTGTGGATTGTGATCTTTGCTGTTGACCCACAGGTCTTTTGAGAGCACTCATGGGGATGCCCAGTAGTGCCTCGTGGGCCGGGTTTGTGTTGTGGGCACTGGCGGACTGCACCCTGGAGAAGCCTAGACCGCATGAGGAAACAAGAAACATAGACCGCCACGTCCACTGGTTGATTGGCTCACCAGCTTTATGGACAACAAAAATCCATGATAAATAAGCCACCTTCTGGGTCCCATTTTTGGCGACAAAGCCACAATCTGCAGGATTCTTGAGATCACTTCACATCGTCCTAGTCTTTCAGGCCCTGAACAGGCCACTCTAGTCATCAACTGGTCTTTTCTCCAGTTGAAAACAACGTCTTTTCGCGGTGGTCAGACCGTATAAAGAGCTCCCGCATGCTCGGTTTCGCGCGGTGCTCTGCGCCTTGAACTGGACGGTACACACGGAGAGCACTTCGGGCACCAATCGGTTGAACTCATCGAAGCAACCCCAGGAGCCACTCGCCGAGAGCCCTCGCGACGGACGTTGTTTTGCGGATGATTTGCATGGGAGTAAGCCATGATGAAAAAGGGGGGAAGCTGTGAGGGGTCCTTAACTTTATGCGAATTGCCGGTCCTAAACGAATTGCTTCAGCAAGATGCGACAATCGTCGTATCACTCTGGATTTGATTGAGGGGAATGGACAAATACTACAGTATATGAAATCATCCTGATATGTCCTGATCAAATACATACTTAATACTGATTATACAATTGCCCACCTTTCTTCCGGCTCTAGGTGTCTCCAACAATCCTCCGCTGAGGAGGAAACGAAACTCCACCCCTCCTCCCTGGCGCCTTTGTAGATATCGCCCAGGGTCAAGTAGTCCATCTCTGGTGCTGCGTTGATGACGTAGCACGCCTCGCATGGCGAGCAGAACAAGGGAGTTGCAAACGTCCAAGGTGATGGAGAGCCTGGCCCCTGTGCAGCTGAGGTTGTTAAACATACCCGCTACCCTGTTTGCTATTTTTCCTGCTACAAGTGGTGGAATGCTTTCTAGAATTCGATAGTGCAGTGCAAGCGGATGCCGATGCAAGCAAGTTCTGCGATGCATGTTGTGGAAAGCTTTAGCAACATTCCGTGCGGGGTGGACCGTGGTGGCGTGCCTGGCGTGCCTGGCGTGCCTGACCTAGTTGAACAGGTTTAACAAGTGAAACAGCCGGTCTTCAGTGTAGACCATGAAGGACCCTTTTGACTCATGTTTTTGCAGTGCATGTTCTGGACAAAATCGACATGTCAGGACTGAACATGTTAGCACAGCAACCTCGCCAACTCTGTCAGGACTGGCCAAAGAGTAGACGTTTTTCATGTGTCTTTTTAACCTGTCGTTCAATGCTCAACGAGGTCTCGGAACCCGTCACCCACCGTGAGACACCAAAATTCCGCAAAGAAATATTTACACCAAAATATACCCAAACCTTCAGGTGTGGCACCTTGGCCACGGCGTTCGCCAAATCCTTGGTACTCTCAGTCTTTCCAGTGCCCGCAGGGCCGGCCGGTGCGCAGCCCATGCACAAGTGCAATGCCTGCCGCTGCGAGCATGCGAGAAGACTCCCATGGAACATACTCGTGTACATTCGTGTCCTGCACTTCTAATAGATCATGTTCATAGACCTGACCTTATTGCAGTACATCTTCCACCTCTGCAGAATGTTTGTTGCTCTTTCCACAGTCCAGCCAGAAGACATCCGGCATCCAATGTTGGCATATGTGCGGCTCGACCGGTCGCCCGGTCGAGCCGCACATGTCATGGCGATGTCGACTGCCCGGCCCTCTCCTGCGTGGCGGTCACATAGATTCGATCGGTCAGTGGGGTGACCACCAAACGCGGCCCGTTGCCCAAATACTCCTCAGCCGGTGTGCCGCCATCTGAGCTGGGCCAGGAACAGGGACACAAAATGAGACCCAAATAGTACGAGGATTCTGGAATATGTTGAAAAAGCTTTTGGAAGATTTTGGAAGTCAAAGGACACTCCGACTCGCTGACCTGAAAGTGGATTCATGGCCCCTGGTCTGATTTTTCCACCAAAACCCCCCACGCGTTTCCTTAAGATGAAAGACTTTCGAGCTACTGCTCCAAGACACGTAGCCGTAGAGCAACTTCGCATCAGCAATTTCCATGGATGCATCATCAACATCCTGCCAGGGGTGGATGCCCGAAGGCCCTGTACCGTTCCCTCTGGGCCCCTCTGAGTCAACATGACCGGAAGATATGAGGAAGACATGTCAACCGGTTGGAGTTCCTGGGAACATATTGGAACTGTTGCAGTGGCTCCTCCCAAAAAGTTTCAAAATTGCCTGACTGAGTGGAGAAAACCGTAGGTCAGATCTGAATCTCTTGCCTCCACCCTACCCGACCCAAAAGATGTGATTTTGGGCTTGTCAGTGCCTGTGTTTCTATTGGTATCCTCAAAGAGGTCATTCATGTGACCTGGCCATTTCAGTGGTCGAATCCCAAAAGCAAATATGCAGCACATGGCACAAACACGACACATACGGATGATACACGACACACACGGCAGGCGTACCTGGTCGCCTTTGTACACATCCTGCTTGTGTGCGTCGGAAAATGAGACACATCGGAACCCAAAGGAACCATTCAGTAGAACAATGTAGCCTCACAGTATGGGTATCTGAACGGCTGAGAAATGCGGCCCCATATCACGCACCATAGCACTGCATCGTGTTTTTTTTTGCGTTTCCATGCTCCGGTGACGTGCTCTGTCACGTATGCCGTACGTCCTCTTTCCAGTAGCACTTCAACATGCTCTGCCACTGGAAGGCATCCTTGCTACTCACCTTTTCTTGCACCAGACCTGCAATGGCTGGGTGTTCTCTCCCCGGACCATCTCTAGACCTTGACTGGCTCCATTCAACTCATGGAGGCAGTGTTGGCCACAAGACTCCACAAACACCGGTGAACAATCACTGCTAGGCAGTCCTAGGTGAAGTCCGAATTCCAACAACTATGTCACGGTTGAAGTCAAACATCCTGCATGACCTGCAGAATCTTCCCGACACAACATCCATTGTTTGTTCCAGGGTATCTTCCTGCAACACTAACTAGAATGGGTGATTTTGCTGAGTTTTCAGAAGGCTAGCGGCTATGCTGCTATGCTCCCTGTGAATATCAATTCTTGAGCTGTGCTCAAGTTGAAGACCTTGGAGATCTAAAGGCTGCCCTGTAGCCACTGTAGCCGTCAAACACAACTCCGCGTGAATGGTTATTCCTGTCTACCCGTGTCTACCAGCTTCACAAACAAAGCCCCTGAGAATTATCTCTGGAGATCACCTCTGGACTCCGCCCAAGACAATCACACCTTCATTCACAGTGCGTCCTTCCTTTGCAAATGTTATCTTCATACTACCTAGCTGGACAGCCCTACAGTATACGTGTATATATAGCTAATATATGTCTCTATGTCTCCATCGATAGGGCACCCAAAGCGCCGCCAGCGCCGCTCGGATTCTTCTGCAACCCTCAGCGATTGCCCAAGTGGCGCTCTTGCACATCTCGATTGTGGGCGTCCAGCGTGATGGCGCACATGATCTTCTGCCTTCCGAAAAGCTCGCGACGCCAACGCCGGATGGGCAGCCAGAAGCCGGCTGGGGGGGAACCATGGGGGAACCTGATTGTTTTTGGTGACTTTGGGAGGGATGCCGAGCCAACCCTGATAGGAGTCAGTTGCATGTAAACCCTTATAGGATCCTATAGGCCTTGAAGCCCCTTGTTTCTTGCATAGAATCGGCGATTGCCAATTTGAGTCGCTTGCCGTTTGCCCTAGGTACATATGTAGTACATAGACCTAGGCAAGACGTGCTTAACTACATGGGAACGACGCCACCAGGCGCCTTGTCTTGTTGGCAAGTCAATCATGACGCCGCCAGTCACCCTGCGGTGCACGTGCGCACACTATTTTCAGCACTTGCCAAAACTACTTTGTGTTCCACATTTTGGAGAGTGCTTCAACGTTCTCCTGAGATGATCCACGCATCTTCTCGCGTCGAAACACCCACTAGCATCAACATCCCACGCGAGTGCACATGAACGTTAACATGCCCCACCCCACCCCACCCCACCCTCAGTTAACATGGACGTTAACATGCCCCACCCCACCTCAGTTAACATGAACGTTAACATACAGTAACCCATAGCATCGCGCACGTGTACAAGAAACAGCAAAAATGTCAACGCCCGGTTGTGAAAATCCGTGTCACAACCAAAAAACAAAGAAAAACACCAGGCGCCCCGCAGCGACGATGGCAACTACTACATGGTACTCCGGTTTGGGCGACCCTGTCGTTACCTTCGTTTCGGTGACTGATCCACGGAGCTCACCAGGCCGGTCGTCGGTTTTTAGGCCTTTTGGAGCTACCCAACTTCGCCCCTCGCCCACTCTGAGACTGACCCGTGTCGCTTGTCTTGCGACACAGCCCTCGCACAAAAAAAACACGCGTTAATTACGCGAAGCGTCGCGGCCTCGTCGGCTTGTCGAGGTTGGTCATGGTCTTCTCCTGAGTGGACAAAACTGACCCTGGCTGTGGAACATGGCACCAGTCAGGCCTGGCCGGTTGACCGTTGACCTACCTAGTGTTTCTTTCCTTCGCGGCACATGGTGGATGACATCCCCCATCCCCACCTACTGAGCACTCACCATGACCTGACCGTATACCGAGTGGTGCAACAAAACAAAAAAACCTTCGCTCATGGTCTCCTCAGTATCTTCGTCGATTCGTCATCTTCACATGTTTGGTCTCTCTGAGAAACCTACTGGTTCTACGAGTACTTGTTGTGGATCAATGTCACCCTTGTTTTTGTTAGGAAGGTACCAACAAAATATGCAAACATCAGTGAAACAGGGTCGCCCAAACTGAAACGTCCTTGGCCTCCATCCGTCCCCCACAAAACATCTCCGGCTGTTTTGCGGCTTTGGGCAAAGGAAAAGCGCTCAAACATCTCTCAGGCTCAATGAGCTTGAGCAGCAGCCGATGGCTCTCTTGCCAGGCATCGTGGACAGCGTCCTCCTTTCCATCCTCGAGAGGCGGAGCGGCATCTGACTCTCGGCGTTCGGCCGAGTTCGGGCGGCAAGGAGAAGAAACGACCGGAGAGGACGGTTCAGAAAAGAACCTCGGTGTTGGCCTTTCATTTGTTTCGAAATGCTTTGGTTGTAGTAAAATCCAGTAATCATGTTGGTCGTTGGCCTCATTTAGGACAGGAACACAGTGGACCCTTGAGCGACAAACATCTATGCCTTTTGGGTGCCTGTAGGCTAAAGAAGGTCGGGATGCTCATTCAGACCACTTGTTGGACACTCCTTTTCGGGTGTTGCAGTGCCCCGGTGCCGTGAAAGTACATGTTTGGCCCTTCCCAGGTCATCCCCCGAATGGCACGCCGGCTCGCCCCTCCTGTGCTGCAATAAATCCTTGGGATCCAGTCAGAGAGCTGAAGAGGAAGGATAAGGATGGACAGGATGACATCGGGACAATCCGTGATGTCTTGGAAGAAGCAGGGATGGATAGTCTGATATCTCTTGTGGATGCTATGCAAAGGGAGGATGAGTTGTTCGAACTAAAAAACGGCTTCCCTCACTCTTCCATGTGAACCAGTGTCAAAGTGTAACCTACCTCGAGCTAAGCAAGTGTCTCAGGAACGGCAAACAAGTACGTACATTCATGGATTGATTCCCTACTCAAAGTGTCTATAATAAGGAACGGCTCAAAGTGTCTATAACATGGGTAGAGTAAATTCTATATGATTCTACTCTACCCATGTTTGGTTTCAACATGTTTCGCTTGGAGAGGCAAAAAAGCAGGCAAGCAGGCCAGGCCCTCCAAATCGAGGGACCGGTACCGGAAAAGGGAGGGTGAGCTCGCCCCGTTTGCAGCCATCGATTCAACATCTTCAACATGTACCCAAACGTGGACATGTTCATCTCACAAGCCTTCTCACCCAGACCCTCTAAAAATGCTGCCTGAGCGGATCCCCAGTTTAGAAGTTGCGTTCAAAGCTGGGATGCTTGTTTCTAGTTACTAGTTACAGTTAGATATTGCGTCTATATATCCGATCTATCCTGGGCCTCAGTGGATGATGATGGTTAGTAAAGGCATTGCACCAAAAATAGTGATAATTGTTTACAGGTCCTGTTAGAGGCAATAATTAGCACCAGGACAAACCCAATGTTGTTCTGATCTGGGATCTTCCAGATCAGATACACGATTCCAACTCCCACCAGGTTACGGCCAGCCTTTTTCGACCCGTCCGGAAAACTCGGCGCGTCGCTCGCTGCACTGCTCAGACCGATGTCAGGGGCTATGGCTGGAGGAGCAGCCCGAGCCGGCTGGAAAAAAGCAGAAGAGCTGCATCTCGCAGCATCATGCAGCAACGTAGGGTTGTTTTAGATGGCTTTCGGCGGACCCTTGACCCACAGTTGAAAGATCTTGAAAGCTGAAACAAAGGTCAGTAGAGGTCAAACTGATTGTCAATGACCTACTACTCAACCAGCTTCTTCAGTACGTGACCTTTTGAAGGTTCCTTTTCGTGACCCAAACAGGAGGCTTAATAAGTGACCGAACCAACCAGGTGATCAAGTACGGTCACTTTGAACCAGGAAGATGTTAAGAGATGGGGCCTCCAGTCGTTCCCTGCGTGGCACCACTTGACCCCACTTCCCTTCCCCACTGACCGGGAACCCGGTCCAAAACCCACGTCCGACCAGGCACCGTTCTCCACCAGCATCACCCACGTGATGAGCCTGCCCCGGTGGGTTAGTGTTTGCATCGCTTTGCATGTGCTGAAGCAGCTTCAAGAAGGAGCTCCAGGTGATCTTGGGGAAACTGAAGGTTGTCACGTTTTGTCTCAAAATGAAGGGGTGCAATGTTGAAGGCCTTCATCAAGGCCCATCTGAAATGTAGCGGAGTCTTTAAGAATATACCAACACATTGGTTGTCGAGAAGTGAATGTCTCGTTACACAGATGTGCGTGTCACTGCAGTCGCACTCAGTCCGCAGTGATTCTGGGTGCGGTTTCGGAACATATTGGCCTTGCAAAGAAAGGACATGTTCACTGCATAATTTCCTGCACTACTTCCCGCTCCCAAATTCACGGTTCAGCGTGTTGCAACCGCCACTTCAACCCCACCACGCAACTTCGTTTGGTGCCCTTCTGCCCAGGGACTGCACCAGCAATGCACATTGCGCTGCTTGGCTGCTGGCAATGAATTCGCCTCGCTTGAAGCCATCGTCCATGCCTTGCTGGCCAAGGAAGGCGAGACGTGGGTTCGCTTGTTGTGTTGTTTGGACTTGTGCGGAAAAACAACTATTTTTTTGTTTGTGTTTCTATGTCTTCTTGAGGGTCTGAGTTTGGTATATAACTATCAGCTGGTGGGCCAAACATTATAGTTGCAGAACTCACCTGGATCCACCGACCAGTAGAACATGCTGGACAGCAAGGTTTGCTGTTTGGAGATAAGTGACGCTTTTAGACAATAGCACCTCTCCGTATATATTATACCATTGGGGTACAAACACGATCAGAAGCTCCTCACAAAATCTGACCATGCGGAACAAACCCAAGAAGTGGATAGGACTTGGCAGCGAGTACAGGTCCACTACAATCTTGACTCAACCTCCTTGAACGTTCTGCAGGGATGTTGGAAAACCATGTAAAAACCACGTGCAGGCGACCTCCACATATCGATGCCCTGCATGTCTGGATGTTCGGTCTTTTCCCGAGGTGCAGCCCTCGGTGAAGTACTTCTCCTTGTCCTGCGGAGAAGTCAACTGCAAGACTCTATAGAAAGCAACGACTGATGAAGGAATTGCAATGTATTGCCCAAGATTGCCCATGTTTTCTGCCGGTGTCGCAGGTGTGGGTGTCGCTTGCCACTGGCCTTGCCTACCTGGATGGTCTTGTGGAACATTCTTCAACAGCTGCAAGCGGCAGTTCTCGCCCACAGGATTCCATACAGCCCGAGACCCAACGCCGGCGTTCACCCGAATTCTTGCCTGCTTGGCGAAGAACTTCAGGGCCTTCTGGAACCACTCGATGCATTTGTCCAGATAGGATTCCACCTCAAAGTTCCAAAAACATGGGCACCACGCCCTGAAAAAGACCACATTTTGTGAGTGTGCATGCCACTGGATATCTAACAGTCAACATGCAATTGTTTGCTTGGTAGACCTCATTCCTGATGTCCTGCTACGAACCTGTCCCTGCCGCCCTGCCCCCACACTTTGCAACCGAAGCGCCTTGCCCAAGAGCGGCAAAGGCTCGGGGAAGGGGACGTATTCCTGCGATCGATCGTACGCTTCGGAAGACGCGATAAGAAGAACAATGAACTGTTTCCACAACACATGGGTTGATTCAGGAGCGTCTGATTCATACGACTTGACATTGACCATACTTGACCTTGTGAAATCTTGTGAACACGTTTTGGTTTTGAAAGCCTGGAAATCACCAACTGGTGCTCTGGCTCCAGTCGAAGGACACTAGCCAACTCTTCAATCGATCGGCCGTCACCCAGCCGTCACCTGGTCCCCCAGTGGAAGCAGTCGGTCCCCAATCACCGGTCCGAGCAGTGCAACCACCACCCAGCAAACCCCCTAGTTGGACCCAAACATGACATCTTTCAAATCTCCTGGAAGGAACTGAATCTGGGTAGTGTTTCTTCCCTCCAAGGGTTCCTAGTGTTGCTAAGTGTTTCTTCCCTCCAAGGGTTCCTAGTGTTGCTAAGTGTTTCTTCCCTCCAAGGGTTCCTAGTGTTGCTAAGTGTTTCTTCCCTCCAAGGGTTCCTAGTCTTGCTAAGTGTTTCTTCCCTCTAAGGGTTCCTAGTCTTGCTAAGTGTTTCTT